CAAACAGTTTTTGTTCCCCACTGACTTCCATGGTATTTTCCCATACTATGGAAGTCCATTAGGACCAGTAACTGTTTGGTTACACACGTTCTTCAAAATATATTTTTATGTTCAGAAGAAAGAAAGAAAGAAAGAAAGAAACTCATACAGGTTTGGAACAATTTGAGGGTGAGTAAATGATGACAATTTTCATTTTTTGGTGAATTGTTCCTGTATTACTGGGTGAACCAGGACCAGTGGAATTTGCTTCCATAACTTAAAAAGACAACCTAGGATGAGATAGCTTGCTTCTTGCAGTGATCGAGGCAGCACACTTCTCATTGCTATGCCTTGCTGTAAAGGAATAGTTCACCCAATGTCATTATTAAAGTGTAAATCAATCTTCTCTGCTGAGGTTATTTGAGGTCATTTTGTGAACAAATTATTATTTTGAGTCAGTTCTTTTCCATGATTGATCTGAGTGACTGTGAGTTTCACAAATCAAACTGAATGATTTGTTCACAAATTTGACAAATTCCACAGATTCGGCTCACAACTGGATGATTCACAGCAGTTCTCTACCCACTGGATGGGAAGAATAGTGATTTAAATTTTGGCCTCTTCCTCACACAAAGCACATAGAAAATATAGTATGCCTTCAAAAGACTTGGACAAAGGTGCAATACTTCTTTCTTCTTCTTCTTCCGCTCTTGAAGTCTATGGCAGCCCATAGAACTGCTTGCGGAAAAGTTTTGAAATTTGGAACAGATAGAGCACAGTCTCAACATTAACCATAGAAAGTCTAAAGTCTTTAACTCAAACCCTCTATTGCCACCAACAGCTCAAATCTGCACTCATGTTTATGCTAATAACTTTTGAATGGTAAAGTTTAGATGCAAAATTCTTTTTTCCCATTGATTAATTGACTCACGCTGAGTCAAATGCATACTGAAATTTTAAATTCTACAGGTAAAGATTTTTTGCAATTTTGAATTATACGTAAAACTTCAGACCATGTTGGCAAAAATTTATTAAAAACTTTTTGAAAAACCCTACCATTTTCAAATAACGCACAAACAAATTTTACGAAGAGGATGCAAAAATGGACGTGAGGCTATATCTCCACAACGCTTCAGCGTATTCAAACCAGACTTGTGATGTGTTCGAAATGCCATACTATCAAACTACTCTTACTATTTCTGTAGTATCCAGTATGTATACTGTGCATAGTGTGCAAATTTTCTGTATGCATGGAATACCCGGATGACCTACTATATTTGCCAGAATCTGCTAAATATAACACAAGTACACTGAAATCAGTACAGAAGCTGTGTTTGGAATGGCATACTACCATACAACTCCTACTATATTGCAGTATGCAATGTGTATACTGTGAATAGTATGTGAATTTTCTGTATGAATGGAATCCCCGGATTACCTGCTACATTTGCTAAAAATTGATGCATGCATCTGAAGGCACTGCATAGGATACTGTTTCCCACAACGCAACACGCTCCATGTGACGTTTCATCTTCAAATGCGTGAGTGAACTGGAGGCGGGGAATAGTAATTATAAATGTAACACTTTTATATGTACTTATATAAATGTTAATGTAAACTACAAACTATTGCTCTGTATCTAAAAACAATATCGTTAGTAGCACATAAATTGTACCTTCATTTCTACGGCACGTTTCCGATCAAGTCAAATGACGTCACCTTTATCTCTATAGTGCTTTATAGCGCTCTATAGTACAGATTGTTTCAAAGATATTAAATAATAATAATATTGCAGAAATATAATATACAAATAACATATAATATATAAATAAAAATAATATTTAAATTATGCAAGCAGAATTCAATTCCACTGTAAAGCAGCTCTAAAAAGAAACGGAGTGTCTATTTACTCTAAGTACAAGTAGCCCAATTTGTTGGCAGGGGCTGCAGTAACTTCGCCCACCAATGCTTGGCTGTGATAAACAGCACTGCAAAAGACGCCTGTTTGACAGCCGTATGAGTGGTGTAGTGATTAAAACGCAACATTACGTATTTCATGGCACACTCGTTTTATGCGGTTTTGGCGCCACCTATTGTTGTGGGTGTATTATTGACATGTCAAAGTCTAGACCCTGAATATAAGAGGACCGCGTTTTTTCAGATGTATTTCCAAGAAAAAAACATCGTCTTATATTCGGGACAATACGGTAATTGACGCGATTGACGCATGTTAGAATCCGCCTTTTGCCAAACTCGTTCTTATCCTTTTTCCATCACATATCAGATTGGAAAGGCATTTATTTTCAGTAAAAATAAACGAAATATTTGAAAAGTGGAAATAAAACAGCTAATTAATAATACAGTGTTATTGGGTATGGTTAGCCATAGGTGTAGGTAGGGCTTTATTGTCCCAATAAGGCGGCATCTATTTAATAATATATGATAATTTACACTCAATATGTTATTACATACTGTTTTATAATGTACTACAGTACTGAAGTATACATATTTGCCACCTAACTTTCACTTAAAGTTAGCCTATTGCTAAAGAAAATACTGCTATTTTAGTGTAAACAGAATTGATCATTATTTGCACTTAGTGTAACTAGAATATATCACTATTTCCACTTAGTGTAACTGCCAAAAAGAAAACAATATCGTTGTTCAGTTAAAGACAGCTCAGTGTTGATTCAGTCCTGTTCAATATGTTTAATAGTATGAACCCTTATTAACAAGCCTTTGTAAAAGAACAGTTAGCACATTTATTTGTAAGGTAACAGCCTCGACAGCTGTGCTGAATTAATGTTCAGTGTTTGTCATGTGACAACACTGTAGCATACTACTCTGAAACATTTTGTTGCTTAATGCTTATTGTATACTATTTCACAAACTATTCTTTAAAAAAAATAGTAGGCAGTATACACTGTATACTGGACAGTAGGCAATAAGCAATATGTTAGTATGCCATTTCGAACACAGGATCAGTGTGTGTTATAAGAACCACGACCTGAGATTACCTGCACGAACTCAAAGGCTTCTAAAACTTGTAACATTCTTGAGTCTATTGTAAGCTAGCTTTAAAAGACTTTACTTTCTTTCTTTCTTTTTTTTTTCTTCTTTATCATTGGTATATTTTGTTAATTTGTGTAGCTTGTCTAACTTCATGTGATGATGTCTGTTAGCCCCATGTTACTTCATAACTTATTCTTTCAATTGCAATTAAAAAAATAAAAAAAAAATTTAAAAAAAGAGATTAGCTGCACAGTTTCGGCGTAGGGCCCCCTACTGGTCAGGAGAATGGAAATGGCTATTTTTGCTTATAACTTCTTAACAGTTTGCCCAAAAATCATAAAAGTGGTCTTGTTAGATTTGGGTCGGCATGCTGAGTCAAATGATATCATTTTTTTCCTTATCATACATTTTGAATTTTGTTGTAAAATGCTGTATTTTATAAACGCATTAGCGTATCATTACGAAACTCAGTATGGGTCATCGGCACGATGCCCTGAAGGAGCCTAAGAAGTTTCTAACCAGCGCCACCTAGTGGTAAAATCAAATATGTAGTTATGGATGTAGTTGACTTATTTTCACGAGAGTCATATCTTTACATTTCTGAATCCTTGCAGAATCGTCTGAGTCCAACGATACCAAACATCCTAGGTTTCACCTTATGGTTTGTGCAACATTGTGATTTAGCGTTTAAACAACTTTTGAAAATATCTTCAAAACCATTAGTCCGATCAAGATGAAACCACCATAGGAAAATCAAAAACATAGGTTGTTGCCTATATGCTAATGGCCAAATCTCAAAATTTTGATTCTAAGTGGCAAAAGAATGCAATCAAAGTCGGACATGGGTCATTTTTTATGTTTTCATAAATACAAATAAGTGTAAATAAATAAGTCTTTATAACTAAAATATAAAAGATATTTTCACCAAATTTGACACACTTGTGTATGGGCGCACTCTGAGGACACATAAAAGAATTGTGACACTTGGTGGCGCTATAGTTGAACAAAATATGAAATTGGAACTAATTACAGTACAGTATTATGATATAAAATGCTATATTTTATTTGTATGTTATTACGAAACTATGTATGTTATTGGTACGATGCCCTGAAGGTACTCAAAAAATTTAGAGGCAGTGCCATCTTGTGGTCAAGAGTTATAATGAAATTTAAAAAAAAAAAATGCTAATAGCTTTTGACTATTTTTGCCTATTGTCATAATTCTGGTCTCAATAGATTCCTTGGGTCATACTGAAAACATAGATACCAATGTTCCTGTCTGCTAATTTGATTTTCTTTGATAACCTACTTTTTCGAACTCCTCACAGACCGTTGGTCCGATTTTCACCAATTTTGAGTCAGATCATCTTCAGACCATATTCACAAAAAGTCGATAGATGAAATCATTTTTAGTATACCGCAGTTGTTGATGGCATGATGCCAAAACGACTCCGAGGCTGTATCTCTGCAATGCAAGCCATATTGACACCAAACTTTGCACGTGTCATTCATTGTCACCTTACTCTGACCACACCACCTCAGTCACAGAGACACCTATTGGTTGATAGTGATAATTCAGCCATTTTGCCTAAAATCATAAATATGTCTTTAATTGCTCATTGATGCAGTTGGTCTGATGCTCCCAGCCATGCTGGCATGACTTATCTTGCCAGCTTTGTGCTTGGCCCTTTAATTGCTGCTTGATATGTTTTTTATTAGTTTTTGCTTTTTTATTTATTTTTTTATTTTTTTGTTATTTTATTACATCAAGTTAAACTAAATGAAAAAATGTGTTCCTTGGAAACTATCTGAAATTAAATTAATTTACTTTTTTAAATATTAAAATATTTTAATATTTAAATATAATTTTCTTTATTTATTTCAAGAATTTTTTTTTTTCTTTAGGATTTAGTTAACTATAATAACCCTTTTTGGAATGACATGAGAGTCATTATTTTTTATAACCCCTATATAGCACATCACAGTAGATATGAGAGCACAGAATTTACCTCCCAGGGTCATTCCAGCCTCAAAACATCTCTTCAGACGGCAGGATGGGCAGTTCTTCCTCCTCAGTTTATCTATGGTGCAGTCATTCCTGCTAGCGCAGAGATACTTCTGCTTCCCTAGAAGTAGAAATAGATGGTTTTCAGAAGTTTTAACTTAGTTTGAGTCAGGTGGCAGCCAAAGTAAAGCTCAAGAAAGGACAGAGCTGGACATATCACATTGACACCAAGATAAAACATGGATCAGAATAAAAAAAGAGAACAAACACACACACACACACACACACACACAGAGAATGCTCCAATTAGAGGGAGCTGTTAACTTGAAAAGCCAGTCTGATAGGTCACAGCCCTCACTCTGATCACCTGGGGACAGCCAAATGAAAAGTGCAGAGTGAGATTTGAAAAGAGGTTCTACTGTGTGTGTGTGTGTGTGTGTGTGTGTTAATAAGGAATACAGAGCCACCACTGAAGTAACCTACACAACTGCAGTCAGGTCTGACATAAAATTACAATGTGATGTAACAGATATCCACTGCCAGACCTACATACAATTATAACAAGATCTGAGATTAAAACAGAAGTAAAACCTAATCAACTGTAAATCAAGTGTAAAAGCAATGCAATTCACCTCACCACAAGAATCAAAATTTAACATAAATACTGGGTAACACACTATCATAATCAGATTTTACATAATGCCAAACAAATGTACAAACTGTAATCATATCTTGCAGGTAATCTTTTTATAAAGCTGAAGAGTGTAATTTTAACTGCTTTGTCTGTGTCCAGGAAACCTGTTTGAAAACAGCGAAACTGGTGAAACAAATTTGTGAAAAAAATACATCACCTTTAAACTTATTCAGAAAGACATCTCTAACCTTAAATATCTGTCTACAATTATTCATAAACAACAATGAGGCCAGAATAAGACTGCTCCTCTTAGTATATTGTTCCATGTCTCTTTCTGTCTCAATTAACAACTGTTTAAACAGTATAATAGTGTGATATTTCTGTATTTGATTAAACTGAAGTTCATTGTTGGCTGTGAGGCAAGACCTTTTAACTCCTCTTAACTTTGATAAATTGTTTTGTTCCACAATCTGTGGGTGTTCAAAGCAAAAAGGGCATCACTTTATCAGAAGTGTATATTGTTGTTTCAATTTGAACATTTATTTGCAGGATGAACATGGGTTTACATAGTGTAAACATTATTAAACTTTGCACACTTGTATACATCCTAACATTATCACTGATATACATTCATTTTTTTTTTATTTATAGTGAATATATTTGTATATCGTGTGTATATTCAGTCTATCCTCACTCCAAAATCTGACATCATTTACTGATCGTCATGTCATTCCAAACCTGTATGACATACAGCACACTACATTCAAAAGTTTGGAGTCAGTAAGATTTTTTTAATGTTCTTGAAAGAAGTCTATTATGCTCAATTGGGGCAGAATTTATTTGATCAAAAATACATTAAAAACAGAAATGTTGTGAAATATTATTACAATTTAAAATAACAGTTTTCTATTTTAACATTTTAAAATGTAATTTATTTTGTGATGTGAGTCACCTAATGGTTAGAGAGTCAGACTTGTAACCCGAAGGTTGTGGGTTCGAGTCTCAGGTCCGGCAGGGATTGTCGGGGGGGGTGACTATACAGCACTCCCTTCCACCCTCAATACCATGACTGAGGTGAGACCCTTGAGCAAGGCACCAAACCCCCAACTGCTCCCCTGGCGCCGCAGCAATATGGCTGCCCACTGCTCCGGGTGTGTTCACTACTGTGTGTGTGTTCACTACCGTGTGTGTGCACTTGGATGGGTTAAATGCAGAGCACAAATTCTGAGTATGGGTCACCATACTTGGCCACACGTCACTTCACTCACTTCACTTCACTGACTGTACATTATCCTGCTTTTTACATGGCCACTTACCAAATAAATACACAATATTGATTTGAGCTATATTGCGTTTTATTATATGAGAAAAAAGAGTGGTACAAGAGACATAAAACACAGCTATGTAGGAAATCAGTAATTGAATCAGTGTTTGAGCTGTCTCAACTGAAAATATCTTGCTCTGACATATCTTAAAAAATGTCAGTTCCATTGTTCTGTCTCAAGATGCACACATGTAACGTTTTCTTCTAAGGCATTTTTATAAAAGCTGCTTAAATATCTTAATTTAACTAAGGCCTAGTCCTGGTTTAAGCTAAGCCCCATCTGTGAAACCAGGCCTTAGTCTTCAATCTCCAGTCTTCAGCGTCACATGATCCTCCAAAAATATTCTAAAATGCTAATTTGGAGCTAAAGTATTATTTCTTATTATCAATGCTGAAAACAGTTGTGCTGCTTAACAATTTTTGTGCAAACTGTGGTATGTTTTTAAAGAAGTTCTGTTTGTTTGTTTGTTTTTTTTTGACATTGTAAAAGTCTTTACTGTCAGTTTTGCAATTTTTTTTTAAACCATCACTTTTAAATAATAGTACATTTTATCTATGGAACACAAATACACAGCAAAACTTTATTTTACGGAGCCCGGGAAGTCACCTGTAGGAGAAAATTTTTTTTTGTAAACCTTACCTTCGGTTTTTGAATCCGTACCCACCAATTCATAATCCGTGCGCATGCTTTCGCAATCCGTTCCTTCGGGTTTGTAAACTCGCAGATTTGTGGCCCCGCCCCCACCGGCAGATTCAACCACAGTGTGGGATGCATAGTATTGTGTTTATTAAACATTCTTCTTCTTCTTCTTTTAGGATTTAATGGCGGTTGGCAAACCAACTTAAAAGGTGCACCTTGCCTCATGTCTCTCTGCCTTGTGTATGTGTCATGCTCTCATTTGGTTATTGTCTAGTCATGTGATTCCCTTGTCTGTGTTATGTCCTGATTGGTTGTCTTAGTCATGTGTCTTGTTTCCCATTGGTTTGTTCTTGTCTTGTGACCCTCTTGTTTGCTATAAGTAGCCATCATGTTCCCATAGTTTTCGTTGTGTATTGAAGTTGTAACCCGCTGTCGGTGAGTTTAGTCTGTTCATGCCTCGTCAAGTCAAGTCTGTTCATGTCAAGTCAAGTCTCGGATTATTGTTTGGATGTTTGGATCACCTGAAAATAAACTGCACTTGGGTTCTTCACTACGCTCGCCTTCAGTGGACTGATTCGTTACATTATTATTGTTATTATTATTTTACATTTAGGTTACATATGCATTTAGAAGAAGCTTTTATCCAGAACGACTTACAAAAGAGGAACAAATGACTCCAACGTCAGTCACAATGGCAGGTTTATTATACAATAATAATCAAGTGCTAAGATTATCACAAATTAAACAAGATTTTGACGCACATCTTTCTTATTAAATTGTTGTATTCCATCTCGTACCCGTTACAATTGATAGAGAATCACTTAAGACAATTTGCTGTAGGCCTTTTCCACATAATAATATGCAATAAAACAATATACAATATGATTCGTTAACACGATTATGAATTTGTGGGTATGGATTCAAAAACCGAAGGTACGGTTTACAAAATCTAAATGCGCACGGATTGGAAATTCGTGGGTACGGTTTATTAATCCGTAGGCACGATCTGTTAAACCGAGGGAACAGTTTAAGAATTTGTGAGTACGGTTTATAAACTGAGGGGACGGATTGCAAAACCGTCGCAACGGATTGTTTTTTTTTTCTCCTACTGGTGACTTTCTGTGGCCCGTATTATTTATATTCCATGGAACACAAAAGTTTTTCATGAAGATATCAAGTAGACTGTCCAAGTTGCTTTTTTCAAACATTGGAAACAACCACAATTGTCCCTGGTCTGGTTCTCACCCACTTTCATTGTAGAGAACAGACCATCTTGCATATTCTGCCTAATAACTCCTTTTGAGTTCCATGCAAAAACGTAAGTCATACAAGTTTGGAACAGGGATGAGAAAATGAATAAGAGACATGAATAATACTGAAATCTATGCTTAGGTCACTTTGAGCGAAGTGTTTGGGTCTCAGTGATTACTAATTGTTTATGGTGAGTCTTTACACACCTCACAGCCAAGTCTGTACTTTATAGGGTTGTAGGCATTAGATTTCCATTGCTACATTTTTTTTTGGGTTGCATAATAGGGAAAGAATGTGTCCCTAATTTATGTATACTTAAGACACAAAGTGTCGCCTACTTGCTCTCTCTTTGTCTTTCTCTTTAGCTGAACTCCTGAATGCCTGTGTATGACGTGCCAATTGTTGCTTTATAAAGTGATATGATTAAAAACAATAAAAGCTGTACTGGACACATGGTCAAAAGCATATTAATTCTATGGCAGCTTTTAATGCAGCATTAATGACAGTTTATAGCTGCAATTAAAAGCTCTAATTAAAGTGATAACAGTCCTCACATATGGTGAATATATTTAGTCGTTAATATAATCCCAAGCCAGACTTTTGTTATAATGGGTGTGTTTATGTTACCCTCAGCAGCTCTCTTAAAGAACACTTTGCAGCTTCCACAAGTGAGGGCTCCATAGTGACATCCCGATGCTTCATCAGAGCAGATTAGGCATGTCCTTTGTGGAGGAAGGAAAAAATCCATTGGGAAAATGTCACTCCTCCCTCCATCATACCTAAAAATAAAAACACAGCATAAACTAATGGCATAACAAAACACTGACATAAATGTTCTGTTCTCTGTTATATCAGCAGAAGAAAACAAATGCACTGCAAACATGGAACTTGTTCTTCCACTGTAATGTCAATTGTGAAGAAAAATATGAGGTCCATTATCAGTAATTTGAACAGAACACACATATCAGATCTCATCCAAACAAACACAGAAATATAGGAGTAATGGGTGCGTATTTGTACATTCAGATGTTTGAACAATAAAAATAGTGTAGGATGTAGCTGAATTTCTCTGAAGTTTTACATCAGTTGTCCAGTGTGCGGCTGCTAAACTAGAAATGTCATTTGCAGGTCCAGCACTCAGCTATAATATTCCCTATGAAAATGCCCAGTTGAAAGCTGGGTGCATGTACCTGGGTGTGTCATCGGCCAAATGATGGTTGTAAGTAGAGGTGACATTATCCTAATGCAAGTGCCAGGTCTCTAATGAAGGGTAATAACTGCTTTATTCCTTAAGGAATGATGGAAAGATTCTGAGTTAAAGAGAGTCATTCAGCATGATTATTCTGTTCTGGTGATGGCAGCCAATTCTGTCACCACACACACAGCGAGAAAGGAAAAGTGAACAAAATGACTACGATTAGGACAAGGGCATATTTCTGATATTTTCTTGGCTGTCTAAAAGAAGTGGTCAAACGTTCTACATTATAATAACTTTTTTTTAAAAGAGAGAGTAAAATAAAAAAGAGAGAACTCAGGTGATACATTGTGACAGTCCAGACCTACATAAAAAAGTTAAAAGTAAAAAAAGAAATCTCATTGTCACCATTGTTTTTCACTTTTCTCTCTCTGTTTTCACCTCTTTTTTTTCTTACATACACATGGTTGGGTGCTGCTGGTTCATGCAATTTCTGAGAGTTTAACGATCTGTGTGCTTGATGACAAAAGCAAGATCAACCCGTAGTAGAATGGATGAATGGAAAGATGGCCATCTCAACTATAATAATGGCAGGAAATAAATAATGGGAAAATGACTGTCCACTTCAACTTGAAAACATGTCTGCATTAGGTATGAGAGATTTATAAAAACTTGTACATCTACGGTTTAAAACTTTTTCATTAAATTTAAACAGGAAAGAGATATTTATATTCATTTAACAGTAATAAACAACATTAACCTACAAATATATTTTACTGAAACCTTTTAAAATGCCACATGGAGACTTTAGTGATGACATAAATTGTAGCATTCGATTCAGTGTGACAATTTATGTGAAATGGTTTTTCAAGCCATTTACACAGAATGTAATTTTGCTCATGTTTCATTAATGAGGCCCGCTGTGAATATATCATAAAAATCAAATATATCAACCCATTTTCCTATTTTTTTTTTCCTATTCCCATTTTCCTACTGTATGAACATACAGTATGGGTATATCAACACACTTTTTTCCACATTTATCTGTGCTGATTGAATGGGGAAAATCTGTGAAATTCTGTCAAAAGGATTTAAGAATGGTAAAAAGTGTTAAATGATATGATCAGCCTAGCTAAAGTAATTTTTAGGTCTTCAGGCATGCATTTGTATGCTGCACGTATTCAGTCCACTGAAGAAAGAATATCATACAAAGTGGTGACAGAATATTCATTTTTGGGTGAACTGTCCATTTAACAAATATTTATATAAAAAATCAATTGAGATTCAGCAACCGCTCTGATTGGTGGAACTCACATTGTATACCTGCTGGTCTTAATACACACAAAAGCCTCTTTAGACTGGCTATTTCATGGAGTTTCATTCGTTCAATTCCCAAAATTTGCCAGTAATCTCAAAATTTAATAGTCTAGTCAGACTTGTTGTTATTCATGATATTGACCTTTGTTAATTTGACTCTTATGTTTTCAACATTAAATAAAAAGGCTGTACGGATAAAATTTATGTGTTTGGGCAGTTTTCATTATTAGTAGCTTATATTTAGGCAATCACATGGAGTTTTATATAGCAGTATGCTTCAAAGTCGGAAAAAATTAGCAGGACATTTGTTAATTTTTCTGTGAAAATCTCTATTTCAGAGTAAACATCTACACTTAATGTGCAAGGGCTTCATCCAATATACTTGTGCATCTGTTGATTTTATCTTGATTTCATGTGTGGATTATTATGGTTTTATTTGAAAAACAGAAGTATGCAGAATGGACTCCAATGTGAATCTACACCTCTGGTAAGTAATAAATAATGTGATAAGTGGCCAGCCAATGTAAACTTAATTATAAGAAAATTATTTAAGAAATTATTTACCCCAATTGCATCTCCAAGGCGTCCTTTGCACATTTTTTTTCTGTGTTAACATCAATATTTATGACTGTTGAATGTCCGACAACTTGACACTGTATTTGTAGCCCATGTGTTTTACTTTGTGAGACACAAATAACTTGAATTCTTCATCAAGCTCACTATCGCACTGAGAAATTTGCACTCAAGCTCACTATCGCACTGAGAAAGACTGTGGGCCTAACTCTTGAAAAACTTACAACAAGTGTAACTAAGTACTGAGTAATGAGACCAGTTATCATTTGCTCAACCAATTATATTTGGTTGATAATCCATTTGCACTTTGTAAACAAATAAAAAAATTAAAGAGAAAAAACTATACATGTTTTTCCTCGGGTGGGGGTGTTATGGAGGGTGGGCACTCACTGGCAGAAACATATGTCGGTGCCTATGGTCACACACACATACACTCGTATCCAATTAATTAAATGTGGCCCTTATTTCAAAACATCCACCCAGTATTGGTGTGTGTGTGTGTGCTGCATGTCAGGTGTGTTTTAAAAACAAAGCAATAATGATACAAGGGAAAGGACTCAAGGGTAAACAAATAGGTCATCGGGGAAGGGAGACAGAGAGACAGAACACCCTCAGTGCGGCCCTGATTAAATCCTTCTGGTGAAGACCTCTGATGCAACACCACTGGGAGGGCCTGAGCTGCTCCAGATGGAGGGCTCTGGACAAAACACGCATAGATTTAAGTAATGTTACCAAGAGACATTCACGCTAAAAACTTACAATAAGACTTTTGGTAAGCTGAGAATAGTTTGACATTGCAACTAAAATTTGGGTGCATCCGTTTCAGACGTTACTCAGGACAAGAAACAGCATGTAAAACGCTACCGTTTTGAATGAGGAAACAATTAAATTCAATTTTAGCACAAAAGGAATCTTGTGCAACTCAAGGAATGTCGTATGATTACTAACACTCAGCCTGGGGCTCATGCAAGTACACTGTAAAAAATGATATGATGAAAAAGCCATGACAACTTATGTTTTTAAGTTACTTTAACTCATAAAAATAATTTCAACTTTTGAGAGATTTCTCACTTAACATTCCTATTTGAAAATGATATTAATATCATAAATGACTATTTTGTGCTGCATGTCAGGTGTGTTTTAAAAACAAAGCAATAATGATACAAGGGAAAGGACTCAAGGGTAAACAAATAGGTCATCGGGGAAGGGAGACAGAGAGACAGAACACCCTCAGTGCGGCCCTGATTAAATCCTTCTGGTGAAGACCTCTGATGCAACACCACTGGGAGGGCCTGAGCTGCTCCAGATGGAGGGCTCTGGACAAAACACGCATAGATTTAAGTAATGTTACCAAGAGACATTCACGCTAAAAACTTACAATAAGACTTTTGGTAAGCTGAGAATAGTTTGACATTGCAACTAAAATTTGGGTGCATCCGTTTCAGACGTTACTCAGGACAAGAAACAGCATGTAAAACGCTACCGTTTTGAATGAGGAAACAATTAAATTCAATTTTAGCACAAAAGGAATCTTGTGCAACTCAAGGAATGTCGTATGATTACTAACACTCAGCCTGGGGCACATGCAAGTACACTGTAAAAAATGATATGATGAAAAAGCCATGACAACTTATGTTTTTAAGTTACTTTAACTCATAAAAATAATTTAAGCAATTTCAACTTTTGAGAGATTTCTCACTTAACAGTTCTATTTGAAAATGATATTAATATCATAAATGACTATTTTTTAGTTGCTCTGTAGATGAAAACATCACGCAACCATGTGGTTGTTACGCCCATTAAAGCATGTGTGAGGCACTGGGTGAAGCACAAAGCAGGACTACTACAAAGATTCACATCCAGTATAACAAAATGAGAGTTTTTCGCCATTCTTGAAATATGCATATAAGCACCCGTGTTGACGAGATGACAACGCGGAAAGGTTAGATCACAAAATTATTCCTGTACCATCCTGCCAGCTGCAGTGTGTGCTGAGTGTGTGCACGGCCAATTCATTTGAAGTGTGTGTGGGCATTCATGTGTGTAAGCATATAAAAGTGCTGAGCCTTCCTTCACCTTTTTGAAAGACATCTTAATAAAATAATTACCACTGGGGATAAAATACTTTAAAATGTAAACAGCGTCTCTTTTACTCTTCCTCTTTCTCACTCTTTTCAAAATACTGAGACTTTTCCCATATATTGAGAGTATTTAGTTCTGTAGAACAGCACATAATGCATGTACATGCTATAATGACATCATGCCTGCTGAAAGTGTTGTTTATTAACAGCCAATCACACAGCAGAAATAAACGTGACAACAGCCAGTCAGTGCATGTCGCTAATAAGTCTGCAAGTTCTGCGTGTCTCTGTGTGAATGAGTGGTATAGTTCAGTGTTTCCCAACCGGGGTGCCGTCTGTCGAGAGCAGGGGTGCAGTGTAAAAAATCATTTTTTAATACTTTTAAATTGCTAAAATTTTCAAAAAAGCAGCTATTATATAATATCTATTTCTGATGTCACCAATAATTAGAGATGCACTGAAATTTCAGCTGCCGAAAATTAGTTCACCGCTCAGGATTCACTTTCACGTGGTGTGACGTTCTGTGTATTATCCCGTTCTATGTGTGTGTGCTCTGCTCAGTCCCTCACGGCCCATGTGAGTGCTCCACTCATATACCATTCATGCTCATAAT